AAATAGGGGTTTTTTTATCTTCTCTTAATGGAGACAATGGGAATTCTGGCTGTAAACAGTTGTCATTATTCAGACTTCTGTTTGCTTTTTCAGGCACCAAAAGCTCTTATTTTATGATTTCAACAAATAGAAGAATTTAGACAGAATTTGAAAACTCTGCTCTATTCTTTGTTTTGTGGTAAAAGAGTGCTTTTCCTTCACCTTTTAATTTAGCGTATAAAAGCATGTACTATGTCAATGACAACTTAAAGAAGTGATGGAAAGAAACCCTTTATGTTTCCTCCCCAGGGAAATGATATGTTTTTCCTTTCTTTTCCAATCCAACAAGCTATTTGGTTCCAAGTATTCACTTAATCACAGTATGAACACAAAATAAGGTGGCCTAAAGAAAGAAATGGCAAAATAAATCAGATTATTCTGCTAGCTTCTGTTTGAATAACCTACATAAAAATCATGTTCAGTTTCTAGAAGCCACCAAACTACAATGAGTCTGTTCAGAATACAATCAAATGTCTATGAATATGGGCCACTCAAATATTTTAGAGGGAATATAACTCTTCCAATTTTAGAACAGCCCAATCTATGTCAAAAGTAAATCTGATTTTTCATTTCAGTGATGATTCAGTATTAAATGAAGATCATGCTTTATTTTGAGTCAACAAATGCAAAGGCTCAGTAACTACTGTGAGCTACTGTTGCATATTTTCTCCATCTCAATTTAGTTTTGACCATAGTTTTAAACTCTAATCTTCTATCGCAGCACTCCTCTTTGTTTGTGAGCTTTTGAACTGCTTTTTGCCAGTTCAAAACACAGAAGAGACAGACTTCAGTATAAGCTGCAGGCTCTTCTTATTTCCATTATGTCAAATTCATTTTAGAGTCAGGCATCAGAAATTGTGCAGTCAAGTTCATTCTGGGCCAGGACATCAGGGCTGTGCAGTCAAGCTCAGAACAGCTACTTTGCTTATTGTATAATACATTCTAAAGGAAGCAATTATAGAAGAAAAAAAAAAAAAAAAAAAAAACAAAACCAAACATCCAAAACACCTGTGATATTTGTTAAACTTTCCTGTGCACACTTGCACCTTTTTCTGATTCTTTAAAATTGTCTTTTACTGATTATTCTTCACATAAATTATGTTAAATTAATTAAGTGCAATAATTTTAATCAGATTTAACAATTTGCATTGAAATCATGTCAGGGAAAAATCTTACTGCACATAATTATTGTGAGACATAAAATTAAGATATTGTTTTGGAGGAAGAGGCTAGACAGAGTATTATTTATTTTATTCTCTCTGAATACTTGTTCATTTTGGTCTAATGGTAAAAATTTGCTTAAAATATATAAACTAATGGTGCCTTTCACAAAGATTTAATGTTGCTACGTGAATATGCTGGTTTTCAACTAGAAGGTTTGGGAGCTGATTATATTTGCTTTTAAATAGGGGGAAATGATATCCAGAAATCAAGTTAGCATCTACTCTTCTTTTTCTTTACAAAGTCAGACTAGATTATAAGTAATTTCTAAATTTAATACCTATTATCCTACAGTGAGATTCTGTCACTGTTGGTGAATAAAATAACATGCAAACAGAACTCTCCCTCCCTATTTAGCAATGGTTATTTGATTTTTTTTTTTCTGCAGCTGTGTGTCTCCAAGAGGGAGATCATTGCTTTGGCAACCTAATGTGGTCAGGTCATTTCCCTGTTCAACATTGCTTAATCTGGTTTGCCTAGCTTGATTGTGATCTAGATGAAAATTGCAGAAGATAGCATTTATGTGTTACTTTCTCTCTGACATTTCTTTTCCTTGTTCTTTTGATTTCAGCCACTCAGGCCTCTAAGTCTTCCTCAGGTGTCTATCCCCTGCTATATCCTAACGTAAAAGTGAAATTAATTTCAGGAAAATTCATTCACTGCAATGTGTTGTATTTGTACCTTAGGCAATAATTTCTTCTAGACCAAGGGTGCAAAGGGCAAAAAGTAGTCAGCTGCCATTTCAGCTGGCTTCTTGTTTTTCTGTGGAGAAGTGAAAAATAGTTCCATAACAACTTCAGTGAAATTCCTGTCTTATATTCACAGTCTTTATGTGTTATTAGGATTGTCCTTATTAGTTCACACAGACATAGAACTGTTGTTTCACAGAAGAGAAGGAGAATAAGCATGTGATTTTCTTATTCTTTCATACATTCTCTCCTTTTATTTATAGAGATATTACTGGGATTTTTTATTAATGTTTAAATCTTCTGTACTATTAACACAACTTCACAGACCACTACAATGTTTTCGTATATTGCTTAAGAAAGGCTTGTGTCCTCTCATAGTCTGACCTCAAGCCTGAACAATTTTTTTTTTTTTCCCTTGGGACTTTCTAATGCTGACCAGGTGACATAATCCATATCCATCTCCTCAGCTCAGGAACTCAGGAATTCAGGAGTGTTCCTTTAAGCTTTCCTTCAGATCATCCTGTGCTTTTGTGGGACTCTCTGTCAAGGACTTCAGTTACAAAAGGGAAAAGCACACAGATAAAAACAAAGCTCTCTCTTAAAGGGAAGGTTACTTGGCTTCAGAGTTGTCTCCTTCAGACACAAAATCGAGGCTGATGTTTCCTTTATGCCATGATACAGGCACTGTTCTTAAATTTAGGAATTCTGCTCACACTTCACAAAACTCAGTTTTGTGCTCAGTTATTGAGTAATTGTAGTGCTGGTGCATCTGTGCTCAATGCAATGCAGCATCAAGTGTCACAACACCATTCCCACCTGAGGAAAGGTAGGGAGCAGGACCTCTTTTCCAACAGCAGTACCCTAATTTGTGTTCCTTACAGGAAGCTGGTAATCTCAACAGGTGTTACAAAGTTCTAGTTGACATTATCTTCCTCTTTATGTATTTTCACTGTTGCAGATTAAAATATGGGAGATTTTTATGGTACTGAAAATTCTGCTTCTCTCCTTTTGTTCTTTTAGAATGCACTTAATTATTGCTCTCTAGGGTCATATATTCCTAGACTGAATTTCAGTGAGTGTTTCCCTGAGGTTTCAGTACACAACTTTAATGAAAGCTTTTGAGCCTTTGGCTCATTTTCTTGAAAGCTTCTACCAGCCTATAGCATCCCAGGGAGATGGGACAACTGAGGACTCCTGTATTAAATTATGAAGTTTATCATGTTATACTTGCCCCATGCTCATAATTTCTGTGTACAGTCATCAGTTCTACAACATCATGCAGTCTTCTGGATCAGAAGCTGTGGTATCTCCTGGGCTTTATATAAATGCTATCACAAATTAGTTTTTCTAATAGTAATAATCTAAATGTTGTTTGCATAGTAGTAAAGACTAAATTGTGTCATGAAACTAAGGAAGAATTTTTTTTATGATGCCAGTGGTGAGACTCTGGCACAGTTTTCCCAGAGAGGTGATGGGAGCTCCATCCCTGGAAACATTCAAGGTCAGGATGGACGGGACTCTGAGCCACATGGTCTAGTTGAAGATGTCCCTGTTCATTGCAGAGGAGCTTTAGAGTTCCCTTCCAACCCACACTATTCTATGACTCTATGATTCCATGGTAAATAAAAACTGTGTTCTCAAAACAGCATAATCTCTAAAATGTGATCAAAGACAGCAAGTTAAGGTGGGCCAGTTTCTAAATGTTATCAAGCCAAAAAAATATATTCATAACAAACTCAATAGCTGTTACTTAAAAAGTTCTATGGAATCAAATTTATTTTTGTAATTTTTAAAAAGTTGTTTAAATTTTAAACACCTTTCTTTTTAATATGTGCTTAGCCATCTTGCAATGATACTTGGTAAACATAAACACAAATATTTGCTATAGCTGAGGATTTAGGTCTAGTGTTTTGGCATATTTGCTTCATATGGCATGATTCTCATTCCTCTCCCTGCCCTTTATTTCCTTTCTTTTTCTTTTCCTCTGTAATCAGAATTGGATTTCTGTCCTACTGAGGTTGTTACATATCAAAAGTTTCCTGTTTTTCACTAAAATATTATAAGGTGGAAACCCGTAGAAGTGAAAGACAGAAGAAAGACGAAAGACAGATAAATGCATAAGATAAACAAATACATAAATGCAAACATAAATACATAAATAAAAGAAATCTCACATACTTCAGTACAGCCAGACAGTAATGCTCCCACTGGAAAGCAGGATTCAAGTTACTGGATCAGTTAATAAATCTGTATGTGAATTCTGTCTCTTTCTTAGGATACTGCTGACAAAATATATATCACAAAAAGAAATCCAAAGAGTTCTGAAACTGCCCGAGTTTTAGGGGTGGATTTCCTACTTTGTTCTATTCTGTTCCTTTTCCATGTCTTGTGCAGCCAAAAATAGTTAAGAAAAAGAAGCCATATGGAAAGCTGTGTGCATGTTGAACAGCCACAGTTGAGGAAGCTGTGTCTGATAGCAACTCCACTGCTGTTGTGTGCAAGACACAGGATATTCCCAGGAAATAGTCAGAGGGGTTGCATGAACAGAAAACAGTAGATGGGATGTTTGCTCTGAAAGTTCTGCAGCCAGCAGCTTTTGTTAGACACACTCTGTGTATCTCTGGGTTTTCTGATGCTACTGACTGGGTCTGCAGAGTTTGACTGAAGGAGCAGCTTCTTTGCTTGCAGCATTCTTCAGTAACCTTCAAGCATCACAGAAAATTTACATTTTGAACTTAATATATTGATATTGCTTGATGAGGAGATAACCAGAAATGTAAACTCAGTAGAGCAGGAAACACCCAAAAGTAGTGGTCAGAGAATGCTCATGGATAAGCACAGTCAAACTGTGGGGTCAGTGGTACTGGTGTGTGCCTCTTGGCCGGTCATAGGAAGTTTCCTCTCAGCCTTTTTGATTTTGTACTTTGCCTCTGCACCTGGGCATCCATCTGACCTTTGCATCCGTCAGATATTTAGGATAGAACCCCACTTCTGTCTCCCTGTGTAATGTCAAGCTGCTCATACCTGTTGTTGTCTCGGTTCCCTGTGCAGGTGAACGGCATTGATCTCCGGGGTGCTACCCATGAGCAGGCTGCGGCTGCGCTCAAAGGAGCGGGGCAGACGGTAACCATCATAGCACAATACCAGCCAGAGGGTAAGTGAAACAACCACCTGGAAGGCAGATGGCAAAAGAGAAGTGCTCTGGAGCCACTCCTTTAACAGGGTGAGGCTGTTGTAGGTAGCGAGTTTCCCAGCTATCATCAGCAGTCATCTGGAATGAAAATCAAAGTGACAATTCTGTCCCAAGGAAATGGCTGTATTTTTGTCACAGAGCACTCTTTAAGTGTGCATATAATAACACAGTAATCAACAGTTAGTTATTCGTTTTACTCTCATTAGTGCTCATTTTATGTCCTTTTCTAGTCTCTTCCTGGAAATAGTACAAAAGATAGGTTAAGAGAGAACAGAAATGCCAGGAAGATCTGACATTGCTTCAAACAGTCAGATTAGAATTAGACAAGGATAAATGCTTCCTGCAGAATGTGTAGAGCTTCCCGTTATTACTTTTGGATGACAGCGTCCTTGTACCTTCAGGGCAATTAGGCCTGGATAACAACTACTTATTAGAGAAAATGACAGCTTTCTAAATAAAAGCATCAGCAGGAAATTCAGCAGAATGCAAGACATTTAAGGTGGGATGCATCTCATTCAAATTTTGCTGTCTAATATTTTGCCTTCTAGAAGTTCAGCTAGTTTCAGTGGACAGAAGTAGGCACTGATTGATTTGGAGTCCAGAATTAAAGAACAAGACTCCTTGTTGTCCATGATCAGTGCCCCAAATGACTATCTGAGGTTCTCAGGGAATTTGTGAGAGGAATATTACCTTCTGATTGGAACTCAAGGTGGCTTTTCTCTTCACTAGTTATTACTTTAAAGTCTTTGCCAGATGATTTCAGCAAGTACAAGTGTCTGTGAAGATTTGCTGGCACCATGTTATCATTTTTCAGGAAGCAGTTCTAGCTCAATTCACAAGTTGATTCTGCCTGATTGTGCCCAGCCTAGGAGATATGTAAGTCTCACAGGTGAAGCAACAGCTCTAATAACATGCTCAGTCAGTCAGGTTTTTTTATGGAAGATGAATTAGTACTTCAAGAATTTATCCAATATGATACTTTCTTTAATTTCTTTGGATCCTGATGATCGCATTCAAGGAGAAAACCAGCTTCTATTTTAGTCATATGTACAGTTGTGCTTCAGATCTGGAATCAAACATCCATTTATTAGTTTATCTGTGCTTGAGTCGCCAAACAGAATAAATTGGGCCATAGTAAGAAATGGGAAGATGAGAGCAAATGAAATTGAAAGTATCTCTCTTCAGTTAAATAAATGGAAGATATTAATATAAAAATGCGTGAGTAATAATCAGCATTATTTCAAAGAAGTATTGAAAAACAATTCCCTTACAGATAGAGATCTGCACTGGGCTCTGAATGAAACCATGTTCCTATTAGTTCCAGCAATCTTGTTTGCTGTCTGGTGATTTTACACTGCAATTATCACCATGGTGTCTGGGTACTTGTAGCAATCACTGGCATGTCACAGTTGTTCCATGCCATTGTTAATACACAAAAAAATATATTGCTTGATGGCTTTTTCCTATTAGGATTGAACTTCTAGTTGAGATATTTGTACCCTGCATTTTAGCAGCTCAGTCCTGTATCAAATTCAGTCTTGGTGAACATACAATTCAAATGATGCTGATGAAATCCATCAGGTATTATACTGGATATTTATTCCATTTTTTCTATGTCATTGCTCCATTCGCCAAAGCCCCTGTTGAGGGCAGACTAGTCCCAACTGCATCACTTCTTGTCAGTGTAGCAAAGCCAGTTTTCTGTTTCAGTCAAATATCTCAAAACACACCACAGAGAGTGAAGCTTGTGAGAAACAGGACCCGAAAGTTTGTAGTTTTATAGTAAATGAATGAATCTTTAAAAGTAGTGAGGGTACTGTATAGTTGCCCAGCATGTCTTATGTTACAGCTCAAATACTTAATTTTAATCTGAGATTCTGGTTAATGCAAACTGCATAAGTCAGATGTAAAATGAAAAATTTGTTTCCTGAGGATTCCCTAACAGCAAAGAAAGATGAAAAAACTTTTAAGAGTTACATAACCTTCACAAAAGGTTATATAAAGATTTATAGGCTACACAGAAAGTCAAACACACTCTATATGAGACTAAATACTTATTTTATTCTAAAGTTATTGCAGAAATCTTCTTGTCCTTTATTTGAAATTTATACCTGATTTCTTATTTACTGTATCTTATCTTGTTGTATATATTGGAATATAGTCATAAAATAGTCTTAAAACTGTACAGCAGTACTTCCCTCAGGGGCTTCTCACTTTTAAACGCTTCCAAATCTGGTAAAGTACATAAGCTAAGTTGGCTGGTAGCTTCTTCCATTTTCACACTAGAAATTCTGAGTTGTTACTACAACTTCAGCTTTTTCTGGGGAGATCCAAGAATAGTCACTGCAAATGTTGATCAGTGCATTGTTTTAATGTCTTTGATTAATATTTCAGGTACTGAGTGATGATGATGTAAGTACCAGTCAATACTGTAAGCAAGCTGATGATTAGCAATTAAAATTGAAAGTAGATAAGGCTTATTTTGTGCAGTGAAGGAAAGCTTCCAGTATGCTTATCTTGGTATTTTCTCAAAAAATAAATAGTATACTATGCTGTGGGAAGAAAATAAGGTAAATATTATAGAAGCAGCTTTCAAAGTTTATATGTCCCTTTCCTTGTTTCAAACAGAATCATATTTGAAGCCTCATATGAACTTCCTTAGCAATTATTTGTAGAGACTTGGCAAAAAATCTCGTAAGAATGGTAACGCGTACAAAAATAAAACCAAACCCTAGTGCTTGCCATCAATTTGAATAGCTTTTCACGTCAATATTATGGTGCTTTTTTTTGTCATCCTGTTTGGAATGCACAACTGCAGATATGAACTCAGAAAAAACAGAATAGCATCAAGACATTTTTTTGAATGCTGTCAGATCTGTGGTTGGTGATGGTGCTCAGCTGAACCACACTGCTCATCCCTCACATGGAAGTGGTCTGGGTGAAAATGCTGTAAAAGAGCACAGATACTGTGAATAAAGGGAGAATAGAAGAGACAAACAGTGATTTCATGCAAGTTGTTGAATGGAAATAAAAGGGATAGTATAAAGGAGAACCAATTCCTCAGTTTTGATCTTCAGTCCCTTTTTTCCTCATTTACTCTCAACACCTTTATTTCCTTCTTTTCTCTGAGAAATAGAAGAGGCAAAGCATTATGAAAATCCAAACAGTAATCTAAATTCTGTGAGCAAAATTAGGGCTAGATTATTAATAGCAAGAGGAAATCAAATTCAGAAGTTGAAAAAATCAGAGCTCAGCAGTAGAAGTACATATTTAGGAACAGCAGCCACAACTCTGGGTTTTTTTTAGTGATTCCTTACTTTTATTAAAAAATCTGAAAATAACCTGGGTACTTTATGTTATGTACACATGTATTGTGTAAATGGAGGAGAATGAATGTTAAGCATCATGAGGTCTTAATAATCCTTGTGGATGTAGTTTATGTGGAGGTTTGTTGATTTATTCAGTCCACACTAACTAGTCCTCACAGATTTCAAAAAATAACCTTTCATATTCTTGTGAAACTCACATCTTCTGCATGTGGCTGATATGAGATTAAAGGTAATTTAGGGTCCAAAAGCTACTTAGAACAAAATTAGAAGACAAGCAATCACTCATATTTAGCTTTGCACTCCAATTTTTTAATAATCAGAAGTATTTTGACTTTCCTTAACAGCTTAACAACTCTCAGATCTCTTTTAAAATATTGCACAGATATGAAGTAAATGCAAAATAAAAACCTGAGCCTGGAAAATAATCTTAGGATGGATCAGTGTGCTCCTGCTAAACAATTAAGTGGAAGTTAAAATGGAATATATACCACACAGGGAAACACATTTTACACTTCCAGGTTTTTCTTCAGGACATATTTCGCTGTTTAGTGACAAGAGTTGCAAGTACAGCATAATATGGAAGGAATTAAGGGAAAAAAAAAAAAAAAAAAAAAAAAAGGAAACCCAACATTTTTTCAGTTAAGCTAAAAAATATTTTTAAAGAAAAGGGAACTGTGGTTGAAATAGTGACAATTTGTCCTGGAAGACATAGCTTGGGAGTGGGGACAAACTGAGTTCTAGTCTCCTTATAAAGCTGCTAAAAATCTTTATTGCACATTTTAGTCTCAAAAGCTCATGTTCCTTTCCCCCACACCGGTGTGAAAAGGTGAAGTATAGCCTTAAGATTTTTGAAAAATATTCTGTGTCAGTGGTCTGCAAGCTGAGCTGTGCTGCATTGCAGTACCTCTGCAGCTATTGCCTCACAACAGTCCCTGGAAAAGTGTTAAACCAGTTGGAAGTTTCGTGTGCTTTCAATCTTTCAAGTGAGCCAATTAACCAGCTCCCTGAACAGCTCATTGATTACAGCTTGATTGGAGCAGCTGGCACTGCAGAGGTTAAAAAGTTATTACAGTGAAAGAATTTGTGTTTTATCTGTTTGTGTGTGAGCTGCTGCTCGGTGCCTGTTGTGAGGTGAGTAGCTGAGCTTTAGATACAGAAAGAGTGTGAGAGGGAGAGACACTGAGAGGCAGTGTTTGTCTCTGCAGGCAATAGCTGAAGGAATTTTTTAAGAACTGCACCTAAGCAACTCCTGGAAGCTCTGATACTAAATTTACTTTTTTATTCTTTTGCTCCTAATTCTGAGAGGCTCCATAGTATTTTAGAATAGAGCAAAAAGCCCCAGATTTTACCCCTTGTCTTACACTTTTGCCTGAGCTGCAGATTCACTTTTTTGAAAATATCAGATGAAAAATCCAGGAGTAACTTGTGAAGGTCTCTGAAGTGGAGGATACTTTTTAGCCCTTACCCCTTTTTTATTCCTTGTTCCTGCCTCAGAGTACTAACACTTGTCTCCTCTTTTGACAACAGTCACATAGATTCCTGATTCAGACATTTAACCTTTCCAGCTGCTGTGGGAATTAGGTAGATAAAAAATATGAAATAAAAAGAAAATAATTGTACTTATTCATCTCT